TTCTATTCCTATTTTGCTGAGAGTTTTGATCAGGATTGGGTGTTGGATTTTATCAAATGCCTTTTCTGTATCAATTGATATCATCATGTGGTTCTTCTCCTTTGTTTTATTTACGTGGTGGATGGCATTGATTGTTTTTCTAATGTTGAACCATCCCTGCATACCTGATATAAACCCCACTTGATCATGATGAATGATTTTCTTCATATGTTGTTGGAGTCTATTGGCTAGGATTTTGTTGAAGATTTTTGCGTCTATATTCATGAGGGTTATTGGTTTGTAGTTTTCCTTTTGAGTGATGTCTTTGTCTGGTTTTTGGTATCAAGGTTATGCTTGCTTCATAAAATGAGTTAGAGAGGATTCCATCCTTTTCTATGTTTTGTAATAGTTTGAGTAGGATTGGTATCAGTTCTTCTCTGAATGTTTTGTGGAATTCTCCAGTGAAACCGTCTGGGGCAGGACTTTTTTTACTTGGTAATTTTTTTTTTTTCCTTTCATAATTGTTGTTTTATTAGTTGTTTTAAGGGTCAATACAGAGACATTATGGACAATTTGTACACAATTCTTAATGTACATACCAGAAATCTAAAATTCCATGGAGTTTTAATTCTTTCCTAAATTTCAGTGACTTTCCAGGTTTAAATTTGGAAGCAAATTTTCGTTAAGAGCTTATCAAGTACCATTATATTCAACTGTTGACAAGCTGTTAAATCGTATGTCTCACTCATTCACAGTTTATTATCTCACACACTATACACTCAAATTTCAGTCTTTCACAGCACATAAGAAAGTTATGAGAACTGGACTACCATAAGCAGAGATGGTAAAGAACGCACACTCTTCTGATAGGGAGAGCCATGTTGTGTGAGTGGTTTTAACAGTTCTAGCAAAAGTAACATGAAAATAGAATCAGTTAAAATGTTGAAGTCATATAAATGCATGACTGTGACTCCAAATTGCCATCAAGTCTGCCTGGTATCATGGGATCTAAAAACTGCCCCCCCCCCCCCAGAATGTTACACCGACATCCAAGACAGTCAAAGCCTCCCACAAATCAACATCTTATTACTTTCTGGTTGTACGAAAAAATAAACAACCAGCAAATGATTTCATTTCTTTAAAAAAAAAAAAAAAAAAAACACACTTAAAAAATGGAATGAAGTGGGATTTCCTCCTTCTTAAATATGTTTCTACATCTCCTAAAAAGCTTGCATTTACAAAATAGTTGATAAAATTATTCCTCTGGATTGTACAAGAACGGCGATTCCGGGACTGATAAGACATGGTAGACAAACATTAATCTGATTTGGCTTGTTTATTTCCTGCTTCATCAGATGCTAGACTCTCCTGGTATTTAGTTTCTCCATTTTCTGCAGGTAAATCTTCTTTAGTTTCTTGGTTACCCACTTTAGCCTGTTTTCTCTTTCTCCTCTTTTTCCTTTTGTTTGCACTTTCTTGTCTGTTGCTTTATCCTTTCCTGCTGCCTTCTTTGGCTTCATTTAGTCTTTTGTAGAAACAGGTTTAGCTGACAACCGCTCCGATATCCTCTTGGGCTCTTCCTTTATTGGTCCTTCTGCAGAGCTGACCTTCCTTTTGGGCATTTTGGTAGCGAGGAG